CCGACTGTCTGAAATATACGCTGGCGTTGATAAAAGGAATTGATAATCTTGGAGGCATACGATTCTGATGGATTGGAAAACTTCCAAGCTGCATGGAGAAGAAAAAGAATCTGAAGAAGTCAAAACTTCAGTAAAGAATGAGTACGTTTACCTGAGATATCCAGATACATGTTGGCACTAACACCTGACTGCTACTTGAGTAAGAATTGATTGCAGGACTTTTATTTGGCATGGATTATGTTTTATCTTCTACTTATTGTCACCAAATCTCATGAAAACAAACAACATACCCCAAAACCTGCTGGTATAATCTTTAAACAGCTCAGAAATATAAAGTTTGAAGCCTCTTAAAGCCTTTTTAAAATATGTGTGTCATGTAGTTTTAATCAAAGAATGGCGCGTTTGTTGGGGACTATTTTCAGCGGCAGATTATTACACATTTGGTGCTCTAGTATTTCAGGCAGCAGGATGGTATATCTGGGAATGAGCCAAACTAAACTACAGTGTGTGTGTTTGTGGTAATGAAGGGACATCTCACCCGGTGCAACAGTGTGTCTCACTGATGTGTTTTTAATAGTTTTTGTACAACAATGGAGCTCTATGGCACAGAGGAATGAGATATATCAGGCTTTGATACACACACAATGCTTGATAGGAGGATCAATTCATTGTTGGTTTTCAAATTTTCATGGGATTTAATGACAATTAGAAATTTCCAACAGAATAGTTATTCCCTCCCTAATGACAGAAAAAAAGGTACAGACAAAACATAAATAAAATGTACAGGAAAAAGAAAGGAAGGAAGTAAAGTGAGTGAGTGGGTGAGTGAGTCAGAGAGAGAGAGAGAGAGGGAGACAGGGAGAGAGAGAGAGAGAGACTGTTAACGACCTGCTGTCAATTTTGCACAAAGTTAATATACACAGTAACACACACACACACAATAACACNNAGAGAGAGAGAGAGAGGGAGTAAGGGAGTTAGTGAGCTGTGAGTTTTCAAACAGAGAGTCAGGAGGGAGACGAGTGAACAACAATCACTGAGAGCAAGAAAGCGTTAACAGCTTCTTAACAGAGAAAAAAAAATATTTTTTCTCTTTCTGGACCCTCTGCCGGTACTGAGCTGGATCCAGGTATTCTGCTCCTGTCAATCCTCTAACAGCAGCCGGCCGTTTCAGGACCCTACCAGAGCCGTGCTGTAAGGGAAACTCTTCTGGTTTCTTTCTGGGCTGGTATCAGGCAGACTTGGTGGATCTCACTCTGTCAGTATCACACTTTCTGGATCCTCTGCTGTTTCCAGACTCTTACTGGACTCTTTACCGATACCAGACTTGTACTTTGACACTGCTGGAGTTCAGTTCTGTGTATCAGATTATTTCCAGACTTGCTTTAAGCCTCGTCTGAACATTCACACACTCTGGACGCTCTCTTGGTTGTGGGAAAGGTCCAGATCTTGTTCTGGGCTGTGGGGTGAGCAGTATGGTGGTGGGGCAGAGCCCCCTCTGCCTGCTGGTACACCAGTTTAAGTGTGGATGCTCTGTGGAGTTCAGCAAGGGGAACAAAAACATGGGGAAACAGGTGGAGGTAAGATGAAGGAAATATTTCCACCTCAGTTCATCTAAATCTGACTACTGTGAATTAAGTTTTGTTTTCTCATCAGTGCAGTCTTAATTATCTTTTAGTAGCATAATTTGTATCATCATGTATCATCATTGTAACATTAATCTAATGTTATGTAATCTGGTCTGATTATAACCTAGTTTAATCTAATATGATCTTAACTGATTTATTCCAGTCTAATATCTGATTTTATTTAATATATATATAATAACTGATGTTACCTAATTTAATGTAATCTGATTTATCTAATCTAATCTAATTTAATCTGATTTGATCTAGTTTGATGTAATTTGGTATAGTCTAATTTATTGGTTCTCAAACTATGGTTAACTGCCTCTAGTGGTACTAGATCAAATCTAAATTGATCTAACATGATTTTATCTGCCCTTTATTATTTTATACATGAACATTTTATGTTTTGAAAATGTGCATATATATATATATATAAAATATATACTATGTGTAAATAAAGGAGAAAAATAATGAAATATTAGTAAGTATTTAATTCAACATATAATGCCAAATAAGCCTTTCCATGTGGTCATTTTATATAAACTATTTATTCATTGAATTTACAGAAAATGTTCTATATTGTGATGTATTTATATGGATATGAAATGACCTGTATATCGGGATATGACATTTTGGTGATGTTGCACAGCCTCACTGTCACTGTCAGAGGACGTTGACCTCAGACTCTTAATCTCGTCAAGACTGGTTGCTTTGGTGATACACTGTGTGTAAAACAGCACTCCCATTGGCATCTACTCATGCAGATCGTTTTCAGATTTCTGCCACAATACCAAAACAGTGGAGGTGAATATAATTTAGTTTGAGGAGCTTAAAGCTTTTAACAATTACATGAAAAGGAAACAGAAACAGTAGAACTATTTCCTACTGTAAACGTACGGTATGGAAGTTTTCTGTATTAGTTTTCAGTACACCACATTCCTAATGACACGAATGTACTTCATTATCATTACTAAGCGAGTTTGTTCATTGATTTCTCTTGAGTTGTTTTTATACAGAAAGTCACTTGACTGTTTTGTGACTAAAACATCTGGGATGTTTGTAAAAACAGATTTTGCTTAGGGCTTCAAAGCAGCCTGGACTGCTTGCTATCTCTGCTGTTTGTCCCCAGGGATTGTTTTTCCCAACAAAAAACTGTGAAATATACTTGAATATATGAGAATAATGTCTCTGCTGCCAGGCTCCTGACAGCTGAAGAGTCAGTCACAGATTGATGGAGATCTGAAGTTTTCATATTCAACAAACTCCCTCCAAAAAAACAGGAAAAGCAACATGTCACATGTATGGAGCAGTCCAACAAAATCACAAACTTCTTAACATTTAGGTATATAAAATATAAAATATAAGTGAAGATTGTGGATCCAGGTGGACATTGAGCTACTTCAAGTGTTCTGCCTCCTCTTCACTGTGGAAATGTAGAAGAGGACAGGCCACACATGGGCATTTTACGCTAACACGGATCTGACCTCCGTATCGGTTTGTGCACCTGGTTTTGAACTGTTCTGAGCATTTTCGACCGTTGGTTTGGAACCCAAAGAGTTGATTCCCATATGGAACCAAGAATTACCCGGTTTTCCTTTGGAAGCAAAGGGGGCATGTCATATTCTCAAGGCCGTTTTGCATTGTGTAACACCCTCGGTCGATTCTTGATTACAGTGGTTTCGCTCAAAACTGGTGAAAACGCAGGCTGGTTCGATAGAGAGCACCAAAGAATATTGAATTAAACTGGTTCAAGAACCAGAGCTAATTTGGTGTAAAAGAGGGGAAGAGAAACATCTTGGAGGAACCAATGATAATGTTAGATGCCTCTAAAGACAATAAAACATGAGTTTTTAGTTGACATGTAAGCTGTTACAGGAGTTATTCTTGTTGTTTTTCTCAATTCAAATTCTTGACTTAGGAGTCTGCTGTAAACCAGCTGTAATTAGATAACCAGTGTATTGTTGTGCAACTGAATTGATCTTTGTCAGATTGAATCAACTGAAGCGTCATAACACACAGAAACCCATTACAATGTCAATGTCCAATGGAAACTTCTCATTTGTAAAGCACATAAACTGATTATTTATTATCCTCATTGAACCCAAAGAGCCATTAAAACAACAGATATATATTCTTAATAAATACAACAGTATCATCTGCTAAGTGAGAGACTGACTTTGATAACTTAGTTTAACTAGTGTTTACATTTTATATTTTAGAGACTCAGTAACTTTAGAGGCTACCAAGTCACAGCTTTTAATTATCAGTCTCTTCTTTACTGTCAGTTTAAAACAGTGGAGGATCCGTTGTCAGATCTGGGACTTGAACTTGAAGCTGAAGGTAAAAATATTTCTGGGACTCTGGAGCGATCGAGGACGAATAAACAAAACCCGTCTGCCAAAGGTCGATTTATTTTTGGTCGACTGGTTCCTGACTGTGAGCGCTGATGGAAACAAAGTTTGATGGTTCCTGTGTTCCAGTAGGTCAGCTGACTGCGGGCTGCAGGGCAGAGCTGAAGATAAACACACACACACACACAAACACATATTCA